AGCTTCAAATCCTAAAATATCATGGCTTAAATAAAAGGTTTGTTTCACTCACTAATGAAGACCAAAGTTAGGCAGGCCATGGCTTGTAGGGGGAGCTCACAATCTCAAGTTATTTCTGTCGGGATGCCCTGCAGAGGAGGAGTCTTTTGGCCTGCAGCACCAGTGATGAGTGCTAGCACTCCAGCTATCACATCCACATTCCAGACAGCAGAGGGGAAGTAAGAAAGCAATTTGAGTCTCAGACCTTTAAGGATACTTCTTGAAAGTCACTAACAATCTTTTCTTTTCTTTATTGGCTAAAACTTAGATGTGTTAGCCATCTGTCATTATAAAACGGTTGACAAAGTAGTCTCTGTGTATACATGTGCATGTGTACACATGTGTGCGCATGTGCCAGTTCTGGGGATTGAACTTTGGGCCTGGGTGCTACTCCTGAACCTTTTTTTTTTTTTTTTTCAAGGTTAGCATTCTACCACTAGAGCTACAGCTCCACTTCTGGCTTTTTTTAGTAGTTAATTGGAGATAAGAGTCTCATGGGCTTTCTCATCTAGGCTGGCTTTGAGCCACAGTCCTCAGATTACAGGTGTGAGCTAGCAGTGCCTGGTTAAAAAAAAAAAAGTAGTCTTTTAACTGAGCTACCATACCAAATTGGGATTCTTATTACTAGGAAAGAAGAAATTAAATATTGAACAGTAAGTAGAGTCTCTTAGGGGCTACAGAGTCTGCCCCATTTCTTATCTACCTTATTCCTATCTCAACCTTGTTCCTATCTCAGACCTTTCTCACCCAGCACTGTATCCTCAACCTGTTGGTAGTGACCACAAATCTCTTATTAGATCTTTACCACATTAACCTCTTGTACACTGTCTGCCTGGTGTGCCCTGCAGTATCCTTATTTCTCTTGGAAACATCTATGCATTTTCAAACCCCAACATGCATCCTCAGAAAAGTTCTTTTCTTTTAACACGTTTTCTCTTAGTTGTGCATGGAGAATGGGGAGCAGTGCAAGAGCTTTATGAATTTGAATTTAATAGTTGAGCATACTTGGTTGAATCTCTGCTCTCCACATTGGTCTGTAAATATAAATACAGAAGTGCGCAACATGTGAATTTTGTTTATAGCCATAGTCTAGCTCTCTTTTGAATTCCATACCTTTTGTTGATCTGCCTATGTAACATCATCCCGTGATAGTGTCAGAGGTGGCCTTGCATGAATGAGTACCACTGAAATAAACTCTTGATTTTTTACTTCCTTCTCCAGACTTTCTTAAATGATAACTTTTGCTAACAGAAATCTAGAAACTATCATTTGCTTCTCATATCAATTTTTTAATTTTTGTGTTGGAAATGGGACTTGAACTCAGGGCCTGGGTGCTATCCTTTAGCACTCCCACTTGAGCCACAGCTCCATTTTTAGCTTTTTGTGGTTAATTGGAGGGAAGAGTTTCACACTTTCCTGCCTTGGTTGGCTTTGAATGGAAATCTCAGCCTCTTGAATAGCTAGGATTGCAGGTGTGAGCCACTGGCATCAGGTATACTTCTTACATCAAATATCTCATATACTCTCTCTACCTTCTCTCCTCTCTCCCATTCCTTCCTTCTTTCTCTTTCTCCATCTCTGTCTCCTTCCCTCTTCCCCTTCTCCCTTCCCTTTTCCTTTCTCCCTCTCTGTCTCTCTTGAGGCTTGAACTCTGGGCTTCATACAATCTTCTGGTTCTTTTTGCTCAGGTGCTCTATCATTTGGGCCATACCTCTGCTTCCATATCTTTTCTCAGCCTTCTCTAATCTTTCCTTGGTGATGCCCCTCTTTCATACAAACCAGCTTCCCATTGTCTCTAGGCTTGTATTCTGGATTCCTGTATCCTGAAATACCTCATCTGACTTGACTTCTATCTACCCTTCATTTTCACCTCTTTTAGTACCCAACCTTGCTCATTGGGCTCTGTTTCAAGGTCCTCTTTCTGGACTTTGATTATGAGAAGAACGTCTTTCTTCTCACTTTACATTCCCTGCTTGCAGGTCTTTTGACTCCCTTGTCAGTCTATCCTCGAGTCTCCATCTTTTTTTTTTGTGTGGGGGGGGTCTGGTTGTGGGGCCTGAACTCTGGGTCTGGGTGCTGTCCCTCAGCTCTTCAGCTCAAGGCTAACACTCTACCACTTGAGCCACAGCGCCACTTCTTTTTGCTTATGTGGTGCTGGGGAATCGAACCCAGGGCCTCATGCATGCAACGCAAGCGCTCTACCACTGAGCCACCTTTCCAGCCCTTCGAGTCTCCATCTTAATGTCACTTCCTCACAGCCTTTTCCTGACTTTTATATTATCATTTCCTATATTAACCTATATGTTAATTAACCTATGTGTTCTAAAGGCTAGGACCATATTTATTTTACTTTAAACTAAGTTCTCAAGGCCCAGTGCTCAATAAATACACATGGAATAATTGAATAGATACATTATCGTGTGATTAAACAATGCAGTATCTCATTGAATCAACAACTTTGCTATTCATGAGGAAAGACATAGTTGTTGGAAATGAACTAAAGTGATTTACCTTGCCAACTTGGCATTGTATTTCTTTACATTCATTGACCCTATCTGTGATTTTCACCTGCAAGGCTATAAACTTCAGTGTAATTTATTAGAATGTAACTTTGAACAAAGACTTATTTCTACTAGGATAATCTTATGAATACAGAACCTGGAAGGATCATGTTCAGGTGTGATATCTAAAAATTGTGCTTGGCCCCACTTCTGTGGCTTTCCTTCTCTTTTTGATTATGATCTGGTGTGACCTTTGGAGCAGAAGACTTGCTGTGGTTGGGATGGAACCTGAAGTAATAATCACTTTAAGTTAGAGCCAACAGTTATATCCCAGGGTTTGGACTGGCATAGAAAAAAGTCCATTCTGGCTGGGAAGGTGGCTCAGTGGTAGAGCGCTTGCCTTGCATGCCTGAGGCCCTGGGTTCGATTCCTCAGCACCACATAAGCAAAAAGAAAAAAGCTGGAAGTGGCGCTGTGGCTCAGGTGGTAGAGCACTAGCCTTAAGTTGAAGAGCTGAGGGACAGTGCCCAGGCCCAGAGTTCAAGCCCCACGACCGGACCAAAAAAAAAGTCCATTCACTACTGTAAACTCCGTTGCTGTCCTTTATTGAGATAAAGGATTAAGATATCAAAGTATGTATTTTGAATTTTATCATCTTATTCTTTCTTCAGTTTCTTTATTCTGTAGAGTGTATTGGCAAGGTATATTACAGAACAGACAGATCAACAAGTTTTGTGTGTGTGTGTGTGTGTGTGTGTGTGTGTGTGTGAGAGAGAGAGAGAGAGAGAGAGAGTCATGGGGCCTGAATCTGGGTCTGGGCGCTGTCCCTCAGCTCTTCAACTCAAGGCTAGCACCCTACCACTTGAGCCACAGTGCCACTTCTGGCTTTTACTGCATATGTGGTGCTGAGGAATCGAAGCCAGGGCCTCATGCATGTGAGGCAAGCATTCTACCATTGAGCCACCTTCCCAGACCTTGTATGTGATTTTTTTTTTTTTAAATGTTCTTACTGAGATCCTAAAATTAGATGTTCTTCTGGAAGGATCTGATGATTTGGGAATCCTGAGCTATCGGCCTAAATTAAAAGATGATCTTAGATGATTATCTCTCTTTTACTGATGGATAGGTAACTAACAATGAGAAAATAGGTATTTGTGTCTTTTTTTGGGAGTGCAGTGAAAATTCCTCTCTCGGTGAATGCTTTGGTGGGTGCTTTCAGCAGAGATGGTAGAGGACACTTTGATCACTTAATCACAAAGATAATGGCTTGAAACTGAATCTTTAAGAAGCACCTAGTCTTGAGAAGAATTTGCTGAGTTACTTTGGTCTTGGGTATATCTAAATGATGGTAAATATGTCTTTTAGCACCTGGAATGGGTACTACATGAATTGACTACCCCTAGAATCCAGAAACTCCAACATAAAAGTATTGGGTAAGAATATTTTGTGGGGAAAGAAATTTAATGTAAATAGTAGAAAAAAATGTATGTTCAAAAGTATATAATTTGCTGCTTTTGGCGAGGGCTCTTAATATTTCTGTTTTGTAGTTTGGCTCCCTGTTTCTTGGGGGAGATATGATTTCAATTTCTTGGGTAGATGTAGAGATTTTTGTTGTTGTTGTTGTTGTTTATCCTGGGCCTTTAACTCAGGGTTGGGTTGCTATTCCTAAGCTTTTTTGCTTAAGGCTAGTGTTCTATCACTTGAATCACAGCTCCACTTCCAACTTTTTGGTGGTTAATTAGTGATAAGAGCCTCATGGACTTTCTGCTTGGGCTGACTTCAAACCAAGATCCTCAGATCTTAGCTGGGGTTACAGGTGTGAGCTATCAGTGCTTTGGGACATTTTGACACCTAGGTGATTTAGTTGAATTCAGTACTGTTTGATGTTCCTTATTTACATGATGTTTTACATGTGGATAGAGTTAAATAAATCAGCTGTGGCCTGCTGAGGCCAGTGTTCCATGTGAGCATTCATATAGCTATCTGACATAATTGCTTTAGCCATGCCACCCAACCACTGTAGGCAAGGTTGTAAAGTGAGTGGTGTGGGGTGCGTAGCATCTAAGAATCTTTCCCGATCTATATATTAGAGCCTGGTGCTGGTGGCTCATCCCTGTAATCTTAGCTACTCAGAAGGCAGAGATCTGAGGATCATGGTTTGAAGTCAGGTAGAGTCCTATCTCCAGTGAACCATCAAAAAGCCAGAAGTGGAACTGTGCCTCAAGTGGTAGATTATCATCAGCTTTGAGTGGAAAAAGCTAAAGGATAGTGCTCAAAACCTGAGTTCAAGCTCCATTACTGGCATGTGCATGTGTGTATGTGCACATGCGCATGCGCGCGCGCACACACACACACACACACACACACACACACACACACACACACACACACACATATTGCCATATGCCTAATAGATATGCTCAATTGATTCCTCTTCTTTTCTCTCTCACTCTAATTTAGGAAAAGAAGATCCTAGTGCACCAGTTTCAAAAGAGGAGAACATTTCCATGTCTCAAGATGTAAGAGCTTCATCAGAGAAGTTACTGCAGAAATCAGCCAAGGTCATTGCCTACAGATATTCTCTACTTGTCCAAATAAACGCTTAGCGTAAGACTGTAGTTGTTTAATTGACCAGAAAGTCAGTGCAAGCAGGGAGTTATTTTTCATTTTTTATTTTTTTGCCGGTTGTGGGGCTTGAACTCTGGGCCTGGGTGCTGTCCCTCAGCTCTTCAGCTCAGGGCTAGTGCTCTACCACTTGAGCCACAGTGCCACTTCCAGCTTTTTCTGCTTATGTGGTGCTGAGGAATCGAACCCAGGGCCTCATGTATGCAAGCAAGCACTCTACCACTGAGCCAAGCAGGGAGTTATGATAAGTAAATAGTTGGCTTGTGTGTGTGTGGGGGGGGGGGGAGAGATGGGGGGGTACGGAATTGAACCTGGAGCCTTGTTCTTATTCAGCTTGCTTGCTCCACTGCTTGAGCTGCACTTCCAGCCCAGCCTTTCACTAGTTATTTTGGAGATGGAGTCTTAACAGACTTTTCTACCTGGTCAGGCTTTGAACCATGATCCTCCAATTCTTAGCCTTCTGAGTAGTTAGAAATACATATGTGAGGCACTAGTTGCTAGTGTGAATAGTTCTTTCTAAAATGTATTTTAAACATATATATATATATATATATATATATATAATATTAATTTGCCTGTATTTGGTTAAAGGTCTAAGTCCTTTTCCTTGAGTATGGTTGTGTTTGGAGTTTTGCATTATGTTCCTTGATTAAACTTTACTTGTAGTGAATTGTTTTGAACTTCAATTTTTTGTTGTTATTTAATTTAAGGCAGAGTAAGGGCTGGAGGTGTAACTCAAGTCATAGAGTACCTCCCTAGCAAGTACAAGGCTCTGAGTTCAAAACCCAGTACTGCCTCCCTCTCAGAAAAGAGAATAAAGTAGAATAAAAATTCAGACAGTGGAAGAACAATATAAATATGGACTCTTGGGACTGAGAATGTGGCTTAGTGGTACAGTGCTTGCCTAGCATGCATGAAGCCCTGGGTTTGATTCCTCAGTACCACAATAAATAGAAAAAGGCAGAAGTGGTACGGTGGCTTGAGTAGCCTTGAGCAAAAGAAGCTTGCCCAGGCCTTAAGTTCAAGTCCCAGGACTGGCAAAAAGAAAAGGGACCCTTTCTAGAAGTTTTTGTTCCTTTATTAATTTTTTTAGTGCCAATCTTGAGGCTTGAACTCAGGTCAGAGTCTAGGTACTGCCTCTGAACTTTTTTGCTCAAGGTTAGTGTTCTGTCACTTGAGCCACAGCTCCACTTCTGGCTCTTCAATGGTTAATTGGAGATAAGAGTCTCACACAATTTTCTGACCAAGCTGGCTTCAAATCACAGTCCTTAGATGTCAGACTCCTGAGTAGCAAGGATTATAATGCCAGCATGGCATTTTTGTTCCATTTTTTAATTGTTTTTATAAAATTCAAGGAGTTGTCAGGTCCATATTTAACTCAAAAAGTAAATTTTAGGTAGTGAAGCTGTGGCTCAAGTGGTAAGAGTACTAGCCTTCAGCAGAAAATGCTCAGAGATAGTGCCAAGACCCTGAGTTCAAGCCCCAAGACTGCCCCCTGCCCCCAACAAAAAGGAAGAAAAGTAAATTTTAGTGTCTTCTACAATTTTTGTAAGTATTCAGTATAGTTATCACATGATTATTTTTACATTCTTGTTTAATTGTTTTACATAGTTCATTTTTTTTGCAAAAATTTTATATGCTGTTGGCATCTTCAAATATGGCTCTTGCTATATAAATAGCTCGTGGTAGCACTTTTCAGCCAAAATGAAGTTCAATCCCTTTGTCATTTCTGACTGAATCAAGAACCAGAAAAGGCATTTCAATGTACCTTCCCACATTCACAGGAAGATTGTCTTCCCCTCTTTCCAAAGACCTGAGACAGAAGTACAATGTGCTACTATGCCCATCTGGAGGAACTGTAAGGTCCAGGTTGTGTGAGGATACTATAAAGGTCAACAGGTTTGTAGGAAGAAGTATGTCATTACATTGAACAGGTACGGCAGGAAAAGGCTAATGGCACCACTCTACATGTAGGCATTCACCCAAGCACGGTGGTTATCACCAAGCTGAAACTGGACAAAGACTGCAAAAAGATCCTGAACTGGAAAGCCACATCCCGGAGAGGAAAATGGCAAATCCAAGGAAGAAACAATTGAGAAGATGTAGGCCATGAAGTAATCTCATACAACTTTCATTAAAAACTTCTTAAATGAAAAAAAAAAAAAAATCATCTTCTAGTGTGAGACTTCCAGTACTAGAGGCTTCTATCAGAATGTTTACTCTGAGAATCCATGTGACCACCCACCAGCCAGTTGGTTAAGAGACTATCTCTCCTGTATGTGGACATGAAGAATTTGTAATTACACTCTTGTATGTGTTACTCCCATGCCCACTCAGTAGTCTAGGTTTTTACTCCAATAGGTATTTTGAGGACCAACTATTACCAGACAGTATGCAAGATAGGGAAGATAATCCAGTGTTGGGTCTAATTTGTCTTCTTTTTACTTGTCAATTTTCCTTTGGTTGTCTCATATTTATTTGTTGTTTTTTGTGACATGAGGAATTTCTAAGTTATGTATATGTCCAAGCACATGCATATGAGATATCTGTGCAGTATAAAAATTTTGACTGAATAGCTTACATTAAACAAACTATCTGACTATACTGGGCCTTGGTCCTTGTGACTGTAGTCAGAGCTTAGATCAAGGCAATCTCTGTCCATGGAACTTGTATTCTTTGATTTGCTACCACTTTCCAAGAATACCTGCATTCTCTCTCTTCCTTTTTTTTCCTTTTGGTTAATGTTTCTTAATGAATTCAACCCAAAATTACAAGGTAAAAACAATACTTAATGCAAAATTTATGCTGGAGTCATCTACATGATAACTAACACTGTGTGAATCACAGGTAACACCCTCCTGTTTTCTACTTGGGTGCTGAAGTTAAATCAAGAAGCAAGGACTTGGGGCTGGGAAGGTGGCTCAGTGGTAGAGCACTTGCCTTGCATGCCTGAGGCCCTGGGTTCGATTCCCTAGCACCACATAAGCAAAAAGAAAAAAAGCCGGAAGTGGCGCTATAGCTCAAGTGGTAGAGCGCTAGCCTTGAGCTGAAGAGCTGAGGGACAGCGCCCAGGCCCAGAGTTCAGGCCCCACGATCGGACCCAAAAAAAAAAAAAAAGAAGCCCTTCCCTCCATAAAAAGAAGAGATAACTGAAGGAGAACTTTGAAAGGTGAAGAAAGGCAGGCAAACTAGAGAAATTCCTTAGTGCCTTAACCATCAGAGGATGACCCAGGGAGACTCAGTCCTCTTGCATCTAACACAGAAACACCAGGCAATCCCAACAGTACCTGGAAATGGAATTGCCTGTGAGCCCTTATAGTAGTAAATGGCCAGAGGAAAGGCCCTCATCTCCCTTAGACCTTAGACTTCTCTCTCTACCAAGAGGTAGCCAATATCTGATTCATTCCAACAAGTGAGATGCCACTGAAAGAAATAACTCAGCTGAAGAAAATTCTTTAGACTGTGGTTCAGAGATTACTGTCTCCCCACCAGAGACACCAACCATGCCAAGAAAATTAAAAAAAAAAAAAAAAGAAATCTTATTGTAATAGCCTGCCCAGTTTGGGACCTTCCTTTTTCTTCATGCAGTATTAACAAGCAGTTTAGTGGTATTAGCCAGGGAGATCCTGCTGTAATTGGTGCGATCCAGGAAGCATCTTCTCCCTGTAGACTAGAGACTCCCTTTCATACACAGAGACACTGGGCAGCCAGGTAATAGAGAGACTCTCACAATAAGAAACCCCAAACAGGAAGTCTCTTTGTCCCTGCAAGCTAGAGATTGTCATTGAGATCACCACTTCTAGGTGACATGGCCCTTCACCTCACAGGCAGTACCAGTAGGACAGTGATAGCCCATGATCACCATATAAACCCAAAATACCAAAATGATACTGCAAAGGCTCTGAAATGAAATTGTCATTGGATATACAGCCCATCGCAGTAGGCCAGAACCAATACTAAACCTAAATAGCACGATTGCCTTCCAAAATGGAAGATTTTAAGTGTGGCTCAGAGTCTCTTAACATGATAGTCAAATAGTCCAGAATGTAATTGAAAGAATAAGGAAATTCACAACTTGAGTGAGGAAAGATATTCAACAACTTCAGTGCCAAGCTATTTCAATTATCTGACAAAGATTGTACAGTGGCCATTATACAGATGCTTTGGCAAGTATTAGAAATCATTTAAGAAAATAGAAAAACTCAGCAAAAATAGAAGTGATTATTGAGAACAGTAACTTATGTTTAATAACAATTGTTAAAAGCACTTGTGTTGTTGATGGGATGTCATAGTATTGGTCATGTGGGGAAAATACAATGTAGAATAAATATTTGGAGTTGTACTTCCCTGCTGGAGTCTGACACATTTCCATAAGGCAACACTTTGGTTATGAAAACACTTTTATTTATCCAAGTGCTGCAAATGCTGCTTATTAGATATCCATATGCTTATTAGATACTTACATTGTTGTAATTTAGACATAGATTACTTAGAACATCATTGAGAGACCCTTCATGATGACTCTAAAAACTTTTGGACTCACCTAGGTGATCATGCAGAAGCCTGCTGACTTCCCAAGCTGGTCAACTAATGCTTGTTCTGTAGATGAATAATACTAACTTTATTTTTGATGTTTGCAGGTGGTTTACATCTTGGAGAAAAAACATTCTCGAGCAGCAACTGGCGTTCTCAAACTCTTGGCTGATAAGAACAGTGAACTGTTTAGGAAATATGCCCTGTTTTCTCCTTCAGACCACCGAGTGCCTAGAATTTATGTACCTCTCAAGGATTGTCCCCAGGACTTCGTGACCCGGCCTAAAGATTATGCCAACACACTGTTCATCTGCCGCATCATAGACTGGAAGGAAGACAGCAATTTTGCCCTGGGGTAGGTGATCTCTGGCAAGAAAAACTTTAGTGTATAGGAAGAACTCAGTATAGGCAGGCTTTAGATGAGCATTTTTGTAAATCAGATTTTTTTTTATGTTAGCCACAGTATTTGATACAGCTTATCCCTAGTTCTTCAGACATCATTGCCCTTAGCATGTAGACAGTCTGGGCACTGTCCCTGAGCCTTTTAGTTCAAGGCTGGCACTCATTCACTTGAGCCACAACTCTATTTTCAGCTTTTTTGGTAGTTAATTGGAGATCAGAGTCTTTCAGAGACTTTCTTGCCCAGGCTGTTTTGAACTGCAATCCTTAAATCTCATCTTCCTGAGTAGAAGTACACACATGAGCCACTGGCACCTGGTTTATTTTTGGTTTTGTTTTTGATAAAATATAAGTACATTCTGAGCCTCTGTTCATTTCCTGGTATGTCATAAATAGTTTGTACTTTGGTGCTACAGAGGGTTCTTTAAAAAAGCCAGTCCTTTTCCTTTCAGATGCCTATATTAAAATATGCAAAATATCATTGCATTCAGGGAACAGGTGGTTTCTTTGTTTTAACATGTGACTATGAAGGCCTATGTGAATGGTATGTTTTGTTGGCATTGATCTTCCAGTGCCAAAGGTTTTTGTGGAAACTGTCAGAAATCAATTTAACTTAAATATCTGTATCTGTATCTAGTTATATGATATTGTCTGTTTAAGCTACTTTTCTTGGTGCTGTAACAAGAAGGCTTTATTTTGGCTCATGGTTTCAGAGATTTCACTCCACAGTCTTTGGTTCCATTGATTCTGGGCAGAACATCATGGTGGCAGGAACATTTGGCAGAGGCTGCTCACCTCATAATGGATAGAAAGCAGAGAGGAAAGGACTGAGACCAATATCACCTTCAAGGCATGCCCTAGTGACCTACTTCCTCAAGCTAGGCCCCATCTCCTAAAGTTTCTATAGCCTTCCAGAATAGCACTACCAGGTTCGAATTAGGGGTTCAAAACAAACCTGTGGGGTCATTCCATATTCAAACTACAACGTAGTCCTTAGACCATCAAAGATGATACTGTAATACTGGATATAACTATCTGATGAAATACTGTCTATTTTCCTTCTTGTAACTGGCATTCATTTAGAAAGAAAAGTGGTCCTATTTTAGCTATGTCTCTAGGACTTTATTATAATGTCTCATTTTGCCACACAGGAAATGAAAATATAGGTATATAGTATAGATGAGTTATAGCACAACATGCCAAACCTGAATGTGCTTGCCTTCTGAAATGAAAGGTTTAAGTTATAGTTAAACTGTTAGTCTGGTTTAGTGACTTGCTTACTGGTCATATAGGACAGACCCTCCTAGAAATGTTCTGTGGCTTTGAGAGCCAACACTGACTAGATGGCCACCATGTCCTGCCTTTGACAGGTGTGCTCTTTCCTTCTTTCTTTCTTTCTTGCTTTCTCTCTCTCTCTCCCTTCCTTCCTTCCTCTCTCTTTTTCTCGCTCTTTCTTTCTCTCTGTCCCTCCTTTCCCCTCTCTCTTTTTATGCCCTTTCCTTTCCTTCCTTTTCCCCTTTCCTCTTTCTCCTTTTTCCCTTTCCCTTTCCTTTCTTCTTTGTACAGGTTCTGGGGTTTAAACTCAGGGACTGGGCACTGTCTTTGAGCTTTTGTTTTGTTTTGTTGGTGCTTAAGTGGAGATAAGAGTCTCGTGTACTTTTCTTGCATAGGCTGGCTTTGAACCAAAATCTTCATATCTTAGCCTCCTGAGTAGCTAGGATTATAGGTGTGAGCCACCAGCACCCCACAAACTTACTTTCTTATGCCCTGCAAAGTAACCACAATGTTTTTTTGTGTCATACTGATGCAATTTAAGAAATACCACTCTATGCCACTTTCTATTATGTGAAGATTAGTGTGATTTACATGGTCTCAGAACAACTTAGGAACCATTGCATTTTCCTTTTTGCTCTTAAGTAGTGTGATTGCAATGTCATCATTTTTATGTCTAACTCGTTATTCCAGAGTGCAGCAACCTCTTTGAGCCCTAAGTAGTTCTTCTCACAGGCTTGCCAGTTTCTCACTATCAAGTTAAAAGGCCTGACCATGGTCATGAAAGCTGGCCTGCTCTGCTTGGCAGTGAGAGGGAAGGAAATCCAGCCTTGTCTTTTATCTGCCTTTCTATTGTTCCTCACTGTGCATACTTGGTGGCACTCCTTCCTTAGTTTTTATGTTATGAGAGTATAGTCAGGAAATCTTCTTGGTATGGGTTTCTCTTATTATTCAAAAGGGTTGTTGTAGGTTCTTCTTATATAGCTGATCCCTCATTTCATTCAGAACCTTGTCTATGGTTTAGCAGCGTCCACAAAGGGAGTCTGGTTTTGGAAGTAGCAGACATACTTCTTGGATCAAAAGAAAGACTATTTAAAATGATAATCACATGTTATTGTGTATTTCCAAAATAAAATTTGAAGATAATCATGGTTAGGTGGAAAAATGTGCTAATTCTATCACTGCCCTCTTAATAGAATTAAAAGGATTGTTTGTGGAAATATAACCTTTCACATCTTTGTAAAAAGAAAATATGGCAGGTTTTCCTGATGAAGTTCTCAGAGATGTCGGCTGCACACTGGGTGAGGGCTGCAGCTGTCGAGTGCGCTGGTGGTCGCCCTGCTGTTTTGTTCTGGCTATCAGTTACTGCTTTTTAGGAACTGAGGTCACTGCTTCCCAGCCCAAACATGCTATGCTAGGATAGCCTCAGCTTCCTCCCTTATCGTTGCCAGGCCCTGAGGAGGAGCACAAAGTAGCGCATGCTGTGGATGTGAGTGTGTGATCAGCATCCATACAAACTGTGCCTAAAAATCAGGTTTAGCTAAGGTGGCTTCCTTCGAAATTTCTGTCTTCGCCCTGTGTCTCTGACCTTAAGGGTACTGAGTTACTTCTGCCTGTGTGACTGGTACTAATTATTCAAGTCTGAGTTACACACTTCTATGGTTTGTAAATTCAGTTTACCATATAGGCTTTGCTTAACTGTGTGTAAGTATTAGCTGATAAATATAAAGGTAAGCAAGCTAGAATTTGTTCCAGGAAATTATAATCTAATGCAAAAAGACTTAAATATAGGGATAATTTGATTCTAAGAAATGAAATCTCACCTGAGTTATTTTAATTAATAGTGGAGATTACTGTGAGAAGCTGGTAGTTCTGAAACCTAAGGCAGAAAATAGAGGGGATTCTTATGAGAAACTCCTAACTAATGAGGCAGCAAAGGAATTGCAACGTTTCTTCCCATTACCCTGACCAGCCCAGTCACAATGATGTGTCTTTGCCTCATTCTATGTGTGGGCTGTGCTTCATGGTAGCTTATTGGTAGTCAATCCTTTGCAGGTCATGCACTGAAGTCTAGATCACAATACAGTGGTCAGGGCTGGGAATGTGGCTTAGTGGTAGGGTGCTCGCCTAGCATGTGTGAAGCCCAGGGTTCAGTTCCTCAGTATCACATAAACAGAAAAAGCCAGAAGTGGCGCTGTAGCTCAAGTGGTAGAGTGCTAGCCTTGAGCAAAATGAAACTCAGGGACAGTGCCCAGGTCCTGAGTTCAAGCCCCAGGACTGGCAAAAATAAAACAAAACAAAACAGTGATCCAGGAGTAAGAAATCTTATTGATATAGCTCAAGACAGGTATTTCCTAGTCATTGGTTTTAACCAAGGAGGGGACCAGAGTCCCATGATCCAATGCCCGACTAGCAAGATGGTGGGACTCAGCTTTCTGGGAATATAGTACAAAGGAGAATGAAGCGAGTGTGTAAGCTCTTCCACAGGAATAAAATAACTTTCTGGATGTTTAGAGGAAGTAGGAGAAGAGGGAAATCCAGGATCATTTCTTGGAGAATAGAGGACTCTGCTGAAAGATCTCTTGAACTGAAGATGCAGAATAATTAGGAAGGGACATAATTGGCAGTCAGTGTCATTTTAGACTATTAGAGGAAGACAGGGAGTGGGAGAACATGAAATACAAGGAACATAGTAGAAGCAACAAGAGGAGTGAAAAGGCTCAAAACAAATTCTTCCAGATGTGATGACCAATTAGAATTGCATGTTTAAGAGAAGGTCAAATCTTAGATGAACTTTCAGGCCTCAGACCTTGGTGACAAAGGGTAGATGCATGTGGCAATTTAATCACAATATCCCTAGAGTAACCTTGGCTCTTTCTATACCTTTTACTTTAAGTGCCTCAGTGTTTGTAGTTTCCCAAGCTATGTTTGTTCACAGCTCCAAACTTCTGTATATCGTACTTTTTTTTTTTCCCCCGGAAGTGGCTTTCTCCAACAATTGCTTGATAAAATATTCAACTTCAAAATTCAGTTTAGTTGACCACTCAAAAGTCTTCCCTGACGTCTACAGTGCTCCCACTACGGTCTTATACTACTGTTAATGTAACTCTGATATATTTAGATTGTAGTTGTTTATTTAAACATATTTCTTGGCTATGAGCCAGGATGACTGGGAAGAAGTGTCATAAATTAAGCTAGAAAGCACAAGAGGAATTATGAAGGAGAAAATGATGAGAACTAAGCTTCTAAGACTTCAAAATTAATGATCAATTATAGAACACAACAGTTATACAAATCAAAAAGAATGCCAGACTTAAGAGTGTAGAGATATGCACAGAAGGACTGAGCAAACTGCAAGCATTAATGGAATATATGATATTCATAGCTTTGGGAAGGTCTGAAACCTAAGGCTTCCTGTCTCAGCTTTCTTTGCTATGGGATGACTTCTCTGTCACCCCAGTGGTGCTTTCTCCATTTAGAGGATCAAAGAGTATTACAGTTTGGAGACTTCATTGTTTGAGTTCATGAGAAGTCTTACTTGAGCCTTGTTTACCTCTCTGTATATCACACTTACCATATTTTCATGAATCTTGAATACCATCAAAAACCCAAAGACAGACTGTTCTTAGTTCTTAGCCAGTCCCTACTGGCTTTTAGGGACCAGTACTTTTTGTCAAATATCAC